CTTTCCCTCTTTCTCCGTCTCCGTCTCTCTCTCTAGTGAATTTAAATAATAGTAATAATGATGAAAAACTGAATAAAAATAATTCTTTAAAAAAAAAAAAAGAAAAGTACGCCAGCAGTTAGTGTAACGGCTATGTCGCTGAACTCCCACGGTTCGAGTCCCAGATCCGGTGGCTTCCACTCAGGCCAGGCACGTGTACGTGCGTGCCCAAGATCCTGAGAGGAGAATGGAGGAGAAGGGATTGCGGTGAGGCCATCCCCCCTGGGGGGTGATTTCTTGCTTTCTGTCTCTCCGTCTCTCTCTGTCTTCCTGGCGAGCACACACGCCCTATAGCAAAAATCTCTCCAAAAAACAAACAAACAAACAAACAAAAAACAAACAAAGAAAGAAGATCTGAACTGGCTAAGTGATGCAGTGGTAATACTCTGCTCAAATGATTCTGGATCTATATGGATGATGATATAGATCATCAGTTCCCCGGTTTACCTGTGCATGCCAAGCACATAGCTGCCGATGATCCTGACAGGCTTGGAAGGCTGGGGAATTACGGCATGAGAGCCTGTTGAGGACATTTGTCTTCCTTTCTTTTTCAAAATTATTTTATTTAGCTTTATTTATTTATTCTAATTTTACCAGAGAGGGACAGAGTGAGAGAGAAAGAGGGAAAGTAAGAAAGCAAGCCACCAAGTCTGGGACTCAAACCATGGTCAGCCATGTGGGAATCTAGAGCCCTTACCACCGCGCCACCTGCCAGCCCCAAAGTATCAATGGTTTAACATTAGGGAATCTATGTCTTCAATTCACACACAAACAAAATATAAGAGGAAACCTATACGATTATATCATATCAAGAACTATTGAAAAAGCATTTCATGAAAGTCAAAATTTAAGAAGGAAAAAATAATAAAAGTATTTTAGTGATTAAAAAAAAAAAGAAAGAAAGTCAACAGCTCTTTATATTATCTTACTATTTTTTTAGATTTTTGCCATAGGGTGCATGTGCTCGCCACAGAAAGACAAAGGGAGACAGAGGGACATAGCCATTACACTAACTGTTGGTCCCTACACAGTGTTTTTCAAGTCACTGGGTCTAGAACTCAAACCACTAGATCGGCCATGTGGGATCCAGCCATCTTAACCACTATGCCACTGGCTGACCCATAAAAATGTTTTCCCTTTATTTATGATAGAGAGCATGTGAACACATGTGAGTGAGAATGTGTGTGAGACAGAGAGGAACCTTCCACGGGGTCTGATCAGACCATGATCCCCTTCCTCCAGTCTTCCCCCCCTGAGAACTTAGGCACTCACATGCATGCCCAGAGTGTTTCAGGCCACCAGACCGATTGGAACTGCGGCCATGCCACGTGGAATCCAGCTTCTCTTGAGCAGTGTTGTGTCACTGCACCGTACAGCCGGCCCAGCTAATATTTACTAAGTGCTTGCTATGTGCCAGGCATTGTTCCAAGTGTCTCACATTACTTTACCTAATTCTGCTAACAATTGTATTTCTGCTATCGTTTTTATTCCTATTTTACACAAGAGAAAACTGAAGTTCGAGAGGTTAAAGTCATACATACAGGCAATGATGGAGCCAGGGTGGAAACCAACGTGGAATGGCGCTGGAGCCCACATCCTTGGCAGCTGTCGCCTCTAACAAGCACTAACTCTACCTAAGTATGATTAACGTGAATAATTAAAGGCTAATGTTAAACTTTACAATGAAATGCGAAATTCTCATTAAAATTCAGGAACAGGGGGCCAGCAGGTGGTGCAGCAGTTAAGGCTGGATTATCACATGGACAAGCACAGTTCGAACCCTGGACCTGGCAACTTGAAAATCATAACAGAAAAATAAATACATGCTTTAAAAAATAATAAAATTCAGGAACAAGCTCATTGTCAGTATTCTTGTGAGGATGTATTAATATATATACATATTTCAGGTTGGCAGGTGGCGTGGTGGTAAAGAGCACTGGACTCCCACATGGTCGACCACAGTTCAAGTCCTGGACCCGACAGCTTGCTTTCTCACTTTCCCTCTCTCTCTCTCACTCTCTCCCTCTCTGGTCAAATTAAAATAGATAAATTAATTAATTTTAAAATTTTAAAATATATTTCTTTGAACAGCTTATTTATTTATTTATTTATTTATTTATTTATTTATGGAGAGGTTTTTCGCTATAGGGCGCATGTGCTTGCCAGAAAAACAGAAAGAGACAGAGAAACAGAAAGTGAGAAATCACTCCTGGGGGGATGGTCACATCGCAATTCCTTCTCCTCCATTCTCCTCTCAGGATCTTGGTCACACACGCGTATGTGCCTGGCGTGAGTTTAAGCCACTGGTTTAGGGACTTGAACCACGGTCAATAAAATATTATATATAATATTAATATATTTATACATACACATACACACACACACATACTTTCATACTTCCCCTCCTGTTTTTATTTTTTAAGTTTATTTATTTACTTATTTATTTATTCCATGAGTGACTACACCACTAACAGGGTCCTGATACCAAGATCTGCTCTAGCTTCAGCCAGACCCAGCCTTCAGCCAGAGCCAGGTCATGGCCAAGCACATGCCCTGGGTACTCTGGAAGGTCTCCAGACTTGAACTAGGAACCTCCCGATGTAGGATTGCCTTGCTGTACCTCCTTCTAGCTATCCCCTTCCTGATTTGAGCAATTCAGAATTGGACGTGGAGCAAAATATCCACTGTACTAATGTTAAAAGCTACATTACAGTATATGGATTTTGTCTGTGGAAAAATGAAAATACTCTTTATGAAACTCGACTGCAGACCTAGTCAGGTTGCTGACTCATCCATGACGCACCAGACCCCGGCAAGCCTTTCCTTGTGAAGCAGACCAAATAAGGTTTAGCAGGACTGTAGCTACTTTGAAACTAAGAAAAGCCTCTAAGGAGAACAATCTGACCAAGTGCTGAGTCATAGGGAGATTAGTTGGGAAATGGTCGGATGAGAAATCAGGAATGGAATGGGTATTTGAAGGAATCAGGATAATTACTCAGGAGAAAGGGACTGACTGTGATTGAGTGGGGGGTGACTGGCACACGCTTGCATATATTGTGCGTGTAAATAACCGGGAACGTGTTGAGGTTTTCCCGACAGTTGGATGGTGTTTGCTGACTGTCGCCCTGTAACTGGCTACAGAAACTTTCTTCTCCTCCAGCCTCTGCCTCTCATTGACCGTGAGAAGCAGCAGCCAGATTTACATTTACCGGGGGCCTGAAACAAGCATGCTCTCTTTATTCTCCCCAAGTGTATCGGTGAAATAAATTCACTCCCCCAGAGGTGAAGCGAGGTAAAGAGATACAGAAATCTCAGGAATATCATGCTTGTTTGACCTCCACTATGTGGTTCATTTAAAAATATTTCATTTAGTTCAGTCACAAGCAATGAGTAAGCAAGAATGGAACACTAACAGAGACTACAGGCGTTGAGAAAGACAGCCTATGTCCTCCCTCCCTGCCCCATTCACTTTGTGAAGACAGGTGGATATCCGTGAAGGAGAAGTTAAGTAACTTGACCAAGTTTATCTGGTTTGAAAGTAACAAGCGATTATTTGACCAGGAAAAATAAATAAACAAAAGTAGTAAAATGTCATATAAGCTTTTGAAAATAGTTTCACTCAAATAATAAGTCTTGGAGGCTTGAGAAATACACCGAGAATATGTACACGCATGCCCAAAATAGCAACATGGCAGAAAAAAGGAGGAGGGATTGTGGCATTACCGTCCCCCATGGAGGAGGGTGCTTCCTCTTCTCCTCTGTCTCTCTCTGGCAAGCACACACACCCTCTGGCACACGAATTAAAATAAACTGATATTACGAATGGCTGCCAGGGTCAGCAGGTGGTGTGGTGGTCTAGGTGCTGGACTCCCACAGTGGTTCAAGTCCCAGACCCAGTGGCTTGAAACTCACGCCGGGCACAT